TACCACAAAATTAAAAGTGTCTGACAATACCAGGTATTGGCAAGGATGTGAGGCAAAGAGAACTCTCACTCAGTGCTGGTGGGACAGTAAATCGGTATAAACAATTTAGAAAAGAAATTTGTCAGTGTAGTAGGCTGAAAAACGTCCCCCAAGGAAATTCCCTGGCAGTGGTTAGGACTTTGCCCTTTCACTGCAGGGGTCACGGGTTCAATCCCTGGTCAGGGAACTAAGATCCTGCAAGCCATGCAGCACAGCCAAAAAAAAAAAAAAAAAGTCCGTGGCTTAATGTCTGGAACCTGTGAATGTTATTTTATGTGACAAAAAGAACTTTGCAGATGTGATTAAAGATTTTGAGATGAGGAGACTATTCTGGATTATTCGAGTGAGCCCTAAGTGCAATCACAAGTATCCTTATAAGAGAGAGGCAAAGGGAGATTTGACACTGACAGAGAGGAGGCAATGTAACTACAGAGGCAGAAATTGGAGTAATGCAGCCACAGACCAAGGGATACTGGCAGCCACCAGAAGTCAGAGTAGGCAAGGAACCAATTCTCACGTAGAGCCTCCAAGGGGAGTACGGGCCTGCCAACGCCTTGACTTCGGCCCAGTGAAACTAATTTTAGACTTCTGGCCTCCAGAACTGTGAGAGAATACATTTATGCTGTGTTAATCCACTAGGTTTGTGGTAATTTGTTACAGCACTCATAGGAAACTAATGAGGCAGTATTGACCAAACCTGAACATACTCTTGCCCATGTCCAGGAATTCTCCAATTCTCCTTCCAGGTATATCCCAACAGAAATGGAAGCATTGGGCTTCCCTGATGGCGCAGTGGACAAGAATCTGCCTGCCAATGCAGGGTACACAGGTTCGATCCCTGGTCCGGGAAGATCCCACATGCCACGGAGCAACTAAGCCCGTGCACCACAACTACTGAGCCTATGCCAGAGCCCACGAGCCACAACTACTGAAGCCCGCATGCCTAGAGCCCGTGCTCCGCAACAAGAGAAGCCACCGCAATGAGAAGCCTGCGCACCGCAATGAAGAGAAGCCCCTGCTCGCCGCAACTAGAGAAAGCCCACGCACGAAGACCCAACGCAACCAAAAATAAACTTAAAAAAAAGAGCATTTGTTCGCACACACACACACACACACACACACACACACACCTAAGAATGTTCACAGCAGCATTATACAGTACAGCTCCAAATTGCTAACAATCCAATGTCCACCAACAGTACAATGCATGAACTACCTGTGGGATGGTCATACAATGAATACTATGCAGCAATAAAAATGAGTCAACTACAAATAAACAGAACGTGGAAGAATCTCACAGACACAAGGCTGAACAAAAGAAACCAGACACAACCGAAAACATATTGTATGATTCCATTTATATCAAATTCAAAAAGAGATAAAATTAACTATTTCATTGAGTGACATAAAACTAGAAAGTTAAAGAAAAGCAAGGAATTATTACTGTAAAAGAAAGAATAGTGTTCCTAGCTAGGGGAAGAGGAGTTGTGATCAGGAGGGTGCACATGACAGAAAGGGGGTGGGGGGAATTCTGGGGTGTTGCCAATGTATGTCTTATCATGGGAGGCATGGGTGTTTCACAACAGCTTATTAACTGTACAATTTATGTTTTATGCACTTTTCTGAATGTTATATTTCACAATTATATGTTATATTGTGATATTTGTTATATTTCACAAAAGTATCTTGGCGGGACTTCCCTGGCGGTCCAGTGGTTATGACTCCACGCTTCCACTGCAGGGGGCATGGGTTCGATCCCTGGTCGGGGAACTAAGATCCCTCATGCCGCATGGCCAAAAAAAAAAAGTATCTTGGTGGCGGCGGTGCTGGTGATAATTTTTAATAAAATGAGCAGGGAGCTTCCCAATCCATGAAGATTTCCTGGGTCCCTCCATCCAGGGTCATCTGAGCACCCCCAGCCTCTGCTGCTTGTCCAGTCACTGACCACTCTGGGCTGTGACCCACAGTGTCCCAGTCTGGCTCACCCACCAGAACAGGAGCTGTCCAGAGCCAGCGCCCAGGCTAGAGTCCTCTCAGGATCCCCAGCAGAGGCCAGCCAGCCCAGGGCTGGGCAACCGGGAGGCCTCTCGGAACATGTGCTGCTGTGCAGGTACACTGGGCCTGCCTCACCTACCACCTCACGTTGTCATTGTCAGGGCCCCTGTGTGTCTGCTAGCAACGTGGTAGGAGATGACTGCTGACAGAAAGAGGGCGTGGCTGACTCTGCATTGCCACTTACCTTTGACTCAGTCCATCTGTCTCTCTACATCCCATTCAGGAATGTTCCCTAAGGCCTCCTCGAGGAATGTTCTCTGCCTGGAATGGCCCCTCTCTTGTCATTCTGCTGAACTCCTACTCATCCTTCAAGAGCCAGCTCCAGGTTCCTCTCCTCTGTGAAACCATGGCCCGCCTTCCTCTGAGCTCCCACAGGCCCCTATTTCCCTTGGCTGCAGCCTGTCCATGTCCTGCCCCATAGAATCTTTCTCGACTTCTGAAGCTCTCTGATCTCCCTGGGTTGTCCTCTTAGCCTGGGTCTGACCCACTTACCAGGCCTCCTCAGGACTCTATCACACCCAACACGGGCTCTGGCAAGCCCAGGCGAGCTCCCTAGCGCATGCGCGCAGGCAGGTTCTGGAAGCGCAAGACACTGCCTCGAGGTTCCCGCCACCACGGACTCTTGGCACACACTGCGCCCGCGCAGGCTCCCGCGGCCTCAAGGTTAGGCTCCCTTACTTCCGGCATGCATTGGCCACGAAAGACGCACCCCGCCCGCCCCACCACCACCCGCCCCCCGGCTCCCGGCTGAAAAGGGTGGAGAGGGCGGGGCCTAAGGCATGGGGCGGGGCTTGTAGGAGTGAGGGCCTAAGGAATAGGGCGGGGCTGAGGCAGGGGGCGGGGGCTTCAGCAAGGAACTGAACTGGAGATGGGAGTGGAGGTGGGGTAAGGGCCAGGGCCTGAATCTTGTCCGCTAAAGAGGCTGGGCCCACCGTTGGCAACCTGGAGGTTGGTGGGGAGACGCCCCAGGGCCTGAGGCAGAGGCGGACGCTGAAGTTTAGCTCAGGGTAGGTGAGGCCAAGCAGCAACCCCCACCCCCCCAAGCACGGGAAGCCCCAGGTAGAGGAAGGCCCCAAATGTTGACAGGTCGTGAAAAGAAAGCCTATGTCCCATACGAGCCAAGGAGACTCCCCTGGTTGAGGGAAGGAGAAGCCCCTGGAAGCTCCCACCTGCCTTCCCAACCTGATGGCACCCACCAGTGGAGAGCTGCTTTCCGTCTCAGTGCTTCTCTACTCCTGAGGCAAGTCACTTCCAAAACCCCTACATCACCTTCACACAGCTGGCTAAGGATTAAACAGAGCTCATCTAGGTGCCCAGCAGACATTACCGCCCTCCCAGAGAAGGTAAATGGTGACAGTCTGGGATCACACAGCAACTAGATGGATCAGGTCTTGACTCCTGGACAGGACTCAACTCCTAGACTTGCCACTGTCTCCCTGTATATCAACACAGGTCAGGGGTCCAGGACAGGTTCCCAGGCGTGGATAGCTGCATCCTTTCCCCCAAGAAAAGCCAGCAGTTGGGAATCCCTGCCCTCCCCCTCCCCAACTCCCAGCCCAGGTCCCCTTCTCGCCCAGGAAGGAAAGCCCCCAG